AAGTTGTTCTGTTCTCCAATACCGCCGCCACTTCTGCTTGATAGTGATGGCTGAATGACGACTGCCCTCATGATTCCACTTGTTTGATATTATAGAATCTAGAATTATAGGATAGAATAGGAACGAATCATGAGCATTTCAATGAACTGATAGACATTGAACATGAAACAAGTAGAATCCACAACAGTTCGTCTTTCAATCTTTACTGTCAAGCAGAATTCGCAGCAGGATTAAACAACACCTCGCAGTATTCATCGGGCACTTCCAACTCCTGTGATCCATCGCAGGTTTCGCGCAAATCGCGAAATCGCGAAAATCGCGAAATCAGCGAAACCTGCGACGGATCGCGGACTCTGACACCAGCCTAAGCTAACCGCACGCCACGTTGGTCGAGTCCCACGCTGGAAGGAAGGGGGAACGAAGGCAATATAGCCCTCAGGCTACACTAAAGACACGAACCTGCAACGCTTTGAAGCGTTTAGAAAACTTGAGACGAATATTAAATTGTAAGCACTAAGCTTGTTGCCTACCGACGAGTTTCGCTACTGCCTTTTTCACAAATTCTCTTCATATCTTTCTCCTTTCGTTTTCCTTCTCGCTCTGCAGCTTCTTGCTCACTCTCACCGGTGGTCTCAATTGTACATGTTTGTATGGCTCGCGTATCTACTTCAGTGAACATATCAGCCCAACGCCGCTAAAACCATCCGGTATCTTTTTAACGTTTTCAAAAAATAGCCTTCCAAAATACTCACCCCTTTCTTGTGGAGATCTTTTGCAACCACAGCAATGCGATCACTGATGATACGCCTGAAATTACATAGCATCACACGATCGTTTAGAATTTGTTCTTCAAAGCTTTTAAGTCTGTGTATTTGCAAAATGAATATTCTGCTGGCAGGCCAATGTTATTCTGTCGTAATCGCGCTGAAGGCGCTTCTTCTGCCACAGCTGAAATCTGGATGACGTACAGTTAGAAAAACCACCAGTGGTGAAATGGGAATGTTTTTACTGAAACATATTCACACAAGTTGATGGTGGTTATTGTTCTGAATATAAATAGTATTCATTCCGAATCTAGCGCAATTTGATGCCAGATCGGTATGACAGCTTCACCAAACCACATTACTTGCAGGTTTCCGCTTACTGTTTGTTAAGTTCTGCGGATTGTCCGCAAACTGCATTGGGTGAAAAAAGTGCTGCATCAAAAATAAATCTCCTAATCGTTGTCGGGATCGAATCAGCCCCTACACCAGTTTTGACGAAGAAATTTTCTCGGCAACTTGGGGCTCTAAATATACTGACGCGAAACATTTACTGTTTCCAGCAGCTCGAGAAGTCGTAATTGCGGGCGGGCTGTGGTTCACTAGGACAGAAAGCGACTTTTTCGCGTTTCGCGCGCGAAACATTTTTCGCTGCAGGAACTCCAGGTCCACTCATGATCAGCGGTGGACCTGAGGTCCTTCGCAACTCGCACGAAGTCGCGCCGCGGAAAAGGAGTGTAATCCAAATTTTTGCCGTCTGTAGCCGAGAATTCGTTTCACTCTGAAATCCTTGCCGATAACACTAGCGAGAGGCCGCCTTCATACTTAGCGTTTCGAGGGATTGGTTCATCGAGAGATAGTATAAAATATGTGTACTGAATGGAAGGAAAGGAGATAGGGGATTACGTCAAGAGTATAGCTGATAAATTTGACGCGTAAGAGTTGGTTTGAGTAAGCTCCTAATTTTTTATTTCCCTATTCTCGCAACCAATACGTAGCCAATTTTTCCAGATAAATCTCCTAAAGGCAAGCTTCGGGATAAAATGGGTGTGGAAAACGTGCAGTTGTGAATCTAGAGGTGGGAGGTGGACAGGAAAAAAAAAGAAAGCAAGGGAAACCCCCATCACTTCTTAAATAGGAACCTCCTCTTTACAGCAGTGATCCCACTTGGGATAAAGAAGGGGCGTGTTGGACGAGTTTCACGAACCCAGCTCCAGTTGTTCAGCAAGCTGATGCCGCACTACTCGCGAATGCCGCGCCCCAGTTCGTGAAGAAAGTGGGCACAACTGGAGCTGTGTTCGTGAAACTCGTCCAACACGCTCCTTCTTTATCTCAAGTGGGATCACTGCTGTAAGAGAGGAGGTTCTTATTTAAGAAGTGATGGGGGTTTCCTTTGCTTTCTG